CACGGTCCCGACCATTAGGTTAAAATGGTCTAAAACCATTAATGAACTTTTCACGTAAATGATTCCACGACGCAGCATTTATTATACTGCTGTACCTAAATAGTTTTAAGGATAAATAACACCTCTCTGTTCACAGCCCGCCAAGCTTTGCTCTGTTAACAACACACTTACAATTTAACTGAAGCAAGAAGAGAAAAAGCAGGAGAGCCAAGTGTGGAAAGTAGTTCAGTGCAGACAGTGAAGGGAGCCATGGAAATAGAATAATACATTTCTTTGATCTCCAAGCAACTGTGTGATCCAAGTTGTTGAGAAACAGCGCTAGTCTGGACGTCTGCACTTTTAAGCTTTAACTGGTGTTGCTGCTGTTACATTTAGCAGTTTTTTAAATATATTTTCTCTGCAGTGCCACATCTCTCTTTAGTTTGGCTGCTGCTGATATCTGGTCCTCGAGTTTTCACAGGTGTGGAGAGCACTCTGGTTGTGCCTGAGCTGCAAAAAACCCCAGCACTCAGCATGCTAGATATGAAGCCGCACAGACTCGACCTTGGCCTCCTCTATTTATTTAAACTTTTAGCCCTTTGCCAAACAGGGGTCTCTTCTTTTTGTTGAAAGTTTAGTCTGTGAGCAGGCCACTGGCACTGTCTACAAAAATAACTCTGTGCTGCAAAAACAGGCCAGTGTTTCACTTGGTTGAAGACCTGTTTGTGCCGACCATTAATGTAATTACAGGTAAAATTTTAATGAAATTCAAACACACGTACTTATCTGAACCCTGGTTGTCTTTAAGTGTACACAGAGGATCATTGCCGTAGTGTGGGAAATTAGAAGTTACGCTTGAATATGCAAAGTTTGCCAGCTGCAGTGACCTTCATTCACAGGTCACGTTCGTCCAAAACAGTTGATTCATGGAAGTAGATAAGATATATTCTCTATCATGTTTTTACTACTATCAGGGACCATCAACGGGGAATTTGCATTAGTTTGCACCAGAGCCTTCACAGTAGTTTTCCCTAGATAAACACACCATAAACCTTTGACACAATTTCAGAGTTGTATATTCAGTCAACTCCGTACGAGCATTCATATACAGCAATTTCAAGGGCTGAAATGCCCATGTGACCCAAATCTAACATCTATCATCAGCTGACCACACATGACTAAACAAACTACAATCACACATTGGAGCAGACCAGGAGTCCACCTCCGCGCATAGAGCTGCTCCACCAACTCTTCTTTCACCACAAATCTTTGATGCGCCCCAGTTCTTGCCGTCACTTGCTCACCCCTCCCCCACCTGATTGTGTGAGAAATTTTGAAGTGTCCCAGGACCAAACTTCCCTCTGTTCAGTGACTACCCTCCCCCCATCTGAACGAACAGATACATTTCACCAAATTTCACATATTTATACAGAATGGCTCTAAGAGGTATTATAATGAACTGGATTTTAACTGATGCTACAAAATTAAGAAAAAAAGTTTACCCTTCACACACATGTTTTTTTTTTGTTATTTTCATTCAGACTGACTAGTAAACCGACAGCTTTGCTTTACCACTCAGCTTCCTCTTCACCACGATGGTCTTGTCCAACTGCTTATGCTGCACCAACACGCATGGCCATCTCAACAACAAGACCCTGAGATACTTAAAGTTCATCGCTCTGGACAGTGAGGAGAGCAATCCACGGTTTTCTGGCAGTGACGATCCATTTCTTAAATTCTACCACCTCCCCTATTTTTCTTCTTTTTTTAGAGTGTGGCTCTAGACGTAGGGGGTGGAAGGGGTTTCAAACAGTTTTCATGACTTCTTACCCTTCCTTAACATAAAAGTACAGACAGGTACCGACATGAGACGTATGCTGCACGTGTCATTCCCTAATGTTATTTACCCAGCAGGCGCTCGCTAAACAACACTATTATTTTCTCACTTTGTGCATGTTGATTCCTGCACAGCTCAGTGACTCAGCGAAGATATGTTTTCTCTTCATCTATTTACAGATGAGGGTTTATGGTTTAAGTTATTATGTAATTTATTTAACAGAGAAAGGATTTCTTCCACTGTCGGCACATCAAGAACAGGAACCATCATTTATCTAGAAGAGACAGTTTCCGAACTAATGGAATACACCACTAATGGAGTGAAATACTGCAGCTCTCCAACTGCAAAATTATAAACTTTAAGAAGTTTTATCCATCAATTACACCACTGCCTCTAATTCAGTTATCTAGATCTGGCAACTGTCATGTCTGTGTGCAAAATGCATTAATGCATTTCAATGTTTAATGATAGCAAACACTTAACCAAGAAGTAAAATCAGCCCAGAATATGATTATGTACAGACACAACCAGGAATAATGAAAAGACAAGAAGGAACATATTCCAAAAGGGGACACAGACATTGTTGCAGTAAGATCAAAACCAACAGTTTCAAAAATGTCAGTGAATTTCCTGGTTCGAAATAAAAAACAACACAGCTGCTTCAACTTCCCTTTGACTAAAGAGTCGTGTGTGATCATACGAGCTGTGAGGCTGTTGTATATAGCTGGGAATAAACCACAGCTTTTAAAACCTCTATTCTGCAGGTGAAGGTCACCATTAAACAACCTGCCAACTTTGCCCACAGGCGGTGACATCAGGTTTCATCAGCAGGATTATCATTGTGTCACCACACAAATGCTGCACGTGTGCGAGGGATCTTACCAACAATGGACACAAAAACCAGGAAGGTGGGTGTCGGGTAGATAAGAGACACACATGTCATGATACTCTCCGAGCAAGGCCAGACACAGACACTTGTTGGTATAGAGAGATGTTATCTTACTGAGAAATTAATTACAAAAACGTGAAGGTATAAGCCAACAGACCCAGTAGAGATAAGTGAGCACACCTTTTAGCACCACTACCTTTTCTGCCATCCTCTGGAACTTTATCCCACCCCTGTTCAACCTTGAGACCCTTCCTTCCCCCTCTCTTTGTTTTTCATCTTTAACTCTAAGCTAAGTTAAGTCTAGCCTTTAAAAAGATATTTTCAACAATGTATCCATTACCGTAGGAGTATTGAACATTTTGTTCCATGCAGCGGCCGACACTGAAACTTCTTTGTCCATTCAAGTTCTTTTAATTTCCTTGCCTCCAACCACAGATAGAATAAGACTGAAAAACTTTGTAGGCCAAGTTGTCAGGGGAGCCGTCTAATTAAATGTGTTTTTCCCTTCTTGCACTCATATCCATATGAAAGGCCAGTCCAGTCGAGTTTAAGTTGCACAGAGTCCCTGCTATGACTGAGGGGTGAGTCACAGTGTCTTTATATGTGTGTCAAGACTTTTCTTTTTATCTGGGGTGGTCTGCTCGCTCACTGATGACCTGTGCTACCAGGCTGGTACCGACTGATACAGACATTATCACACACAAGCACTTTCTCCTACGTGTACCACGCGGTGCAGGGAGAGCTCTTCTGAGACGTGAGGTACTCCCACTGTCATCTACACACACCTCTTTGTCTAGCTGCTAACAATAGACAGCAGTGAGGCTTAAGATGCTCATACTGCTGCAGCATCAGTCACAACAGTGCACATTGCCCTGAACCACATCACCATGTCAGCGCTGTGTTTACACCACAACAGCACGAAATAAGTCCCTTAGTCCAACCTAATCTGTCCTCCAACAAGGATCACTCCGTCCCTCTCCAGTGTTTATGGGATTTTGAAGCATGGCAGAAAGTGAGGATGGGATTTAATGAGAACATGACAAACAGAGATGTTCTATGTGGATGTTAATGATGTCTAGCAGGACAGGACAGATATCATTAAAGAGACATAGTGGGTTGTTTGAGCCGCTAAGACATTATCTACAAGTCTTGCCAGTTAAAAACATTAGATAGCAAAAACTTAACCCAACTTTTTAATTTGCAAACATGTTAAGTTCACTGTTTTGTAGCAAAATAGATGATTTCTGTAAAAACAGTTACACCATCCGAAAAATATTGTTAATTAATCAAAACTTTCTTATCGGCAACAAACAATGAGTTACTTCATCTCCATACGAACTCTCATAGGACAACAAATTGCTCAATGCAGACGTCTGGTGGGCCTCTTCTTCAATATTCAAATCTGATTGCTCGCAAGAAATCTGCAACAAGATAATTCATCTCACCGTGGCTCGCTTTTTGTTTCCTAATAGCCGCACGACAATTTAAACAATACCCTGGAGTGTACATGTTCATTACACAACCGAGCAAGGACATTCCACGAAGGATTGAGGGTATGAATAGAAGTGAATGGTGATAGATTCATTTGTATGCTCGCTGGATGGCTGGCTGGCAGGCAGTCACGGCCCACTCCAGAGCTGGGATCAATGAGGGAGAGATGGAGAGACAGAGAAGGACTGGGGACTCGATTGCCATTCAGCGTACCGTGGTGTTGTCTTTGAACAAATACACACACACAAACACACACAAACGGAGGGAGCTCAGTGAGGAGTCTCTCCTTTCATACAGATCTTTTGTCTCGCTGTAATGTCTGGTATGCCGGGATACAGGCTTTGCTCAATGACCTGATTTCTATGGGGCTGCCGCGGCACCGACTTGTGTGTGTGCTTGCGTGTGTATATTTCTGCGTGGGTGTGTGTGAGGGAGTGTGTGTTCATCTGCCTGCAGCGAGTCCTTCCTCTGGATAAGACGCAAGACTTAGGCCAGGCAGACAGACACAGACTGAGACGGATTCAGCCAATAAGAGGGCAGGAAACACACAGAGACACACACACACAGACACACACACACACAGAGACACACACAGAAAGCCTTGCATGAAGTAAACAAAAAGGCCTCAAATTCCCATAGCGGGAAGGCCGACATAATTGGATGAGGAAATATTCTGCGGGGAAACTTAATTTGAGTCAGCACAATAACTGCAGCCCAAGACGCAGTTAATTCAATAGATGATTGTTTTATAGGTTTACCAGTTGCAGGATATTTGAAAACGAGAATCCATCCAGTGTTTATTTAAGATCACAATGACTTTTAAGAGGATTCTGATGGCAAGTAAGCTTCATTTCTGCTGGGCAATAAAGACAAAGCCAAAGGGAGCCATTTTTCAAACAACCTACCTTGTCTCTGTATGAAAATCCTGAGCAGCGGGTGAGCCGTCGACACCGCTTTGCAGAAGTTGTCGTCGTTGTTGATCGGCAGCAGGTCTCCGTGGACGTCAGCGTAGCCGATCATCACCTCCATGTTGGCGATGCGGTGAATGTGCAGAATAAGTTTGTAGAACTCCTCAAACTTGCCGGGCTTGACCCGGTCCACCGAGAAGCGGCGGAACTCTGCCCCATACTGAGGGAGAAAAAAAAAGATAAAAAGACATCACATTAAAAAAAGGAACAGTCGCTGCGACGGCCAAACAGGAAGAGGAAACCGGGATGTCCAACCTGCATTTATGTGAACCATCTGACTGGCACACATAAAACAAACAGGGTGGAAATCCTCTGAGCTCGGTCACAATTGTGGCCGTGACCTTATGTACGGCACAGGGGAAGTAGTCCTCATAGTTCGAGACATCATGACACAAACAATGTCTAAAACTTAGTAAGAACTACAGACATAGTCAAATGCATCATCAAAATTATTTTTACACAAATACAATTGGTTCAGCTCTCTAATAATAAAGAGTTACATTATACACCATCTGTATCTGGTTCCACTTGGCAACAAACTACTATAATTATGCAACACAACAAAAGCAGCTATTTTAGGTTGTTAATCTGGTGCGAATACAAGGTTAGCATATGGCTAACCACCTTCAAACAATATGTGAACACTCCCAAGTCAGAATAAGGGCTGTTTTCTTCTTCTTCTTCCTCCCAATCTGCAAACATTGTGTGAATGGATGCAGCATTTGTTTCATATTTAGTTTACAGACATGAGTGGAATCAATCTCATCCAAGAAAGTGGATAAGTGTCAATCATTACACTTCTGGCCGCACCGCCACGGATCTTAATTTAATTTTCAGGCTGATTTGTTCATATGTGAAATCCATGGAATTTCTTGGATCTTAATTATATACAGGTCACAGAGAAGTGGTTCTCATAATGATTTAAAGCGCCATATTCATATTAATAGTATTCTATCCCCAAAATAAAAAATACCAGCAGTGTATGAGTGATTATAACAGTTTAAGTTGAATTGCAAAAAAAACACAATACTTCAAAATTGGATCCCAAGAATAGTTTGGAATTTGGTTTTTAAGTTGTTGCTGAGATATAATCGCTTATCTGAAATTGCACCACATTAATAATTCTGAACATGTTGTTGAAACAGCAGTGAGTGAATGAGTCAGTGTAAAATACCAATGCAATACTTTGTTGATGGCTCCCCTGGGTGAAACAGGATGGTATAAACACTAGGAACCAGCTCTCATTTTGAATTCCTGCTCCTTAGGTCTTTAATGCAGCAGTTGTGTCTCTGCTCGACAATGTGTTTGTTTGTTCTGTCACAGGTTAAACTACCACTGAGTCTATCACAAACTAGTATTTCCCAACATGTCTTAATACTGAGCGTGGCCGTAGTTTAACAGTTCATCATCCACTAACTAAACTGATCAAGATGAGATGCATCAGGATGTGGGAGGACCAAACCCTTTAGCTTGACTGCACATCCAGATCATATCACTTCGAAAACAAATTACAGCCGCACGTCACTTGTAGCTTTGAGCAGCAGGACAATTCTGTTGCTGTACAATAGAACAATACAGGTAGATGAGTAAGCAGTCTCAGCGCATACAAATGACAGTGGCGGGTAGCTCTTCCTCCCACCCGTCATTTACGCACAAGAGCCCAGACTTAACAATTGAGCTACAGCTTTTCCCGGCCAGGTCACCGAACCACCAATGAGAGCACAGCTGAGGGTCACAGCGGGGTCATGGTGTGAGTCATAGACAAGCTTGGACGTGACAGAGGGAGGGAAGGAGAGAGACATACGACCGAGGCACAAAAGTGCAGCTCAATGAAACCGCACAAACACGCAATTGCTGTAGCACCGGAGTCGGAATCACAGTGGTAATTTGTAGACTGAGGTGCTGCTTGTTACTGTAATCATCGGCTCAGAGCGGAGGGACGCTGACGGCAGAGGAGAAGAGAGGATGTTAGGGAGGGGAAAAGAGAGGGAATAAAAAATGCTGACAGAGCAGCAGAAGGGAGAGTTTACTTCCTGTGTGTGTGTGKGGGGGGGGGGGGGCATGTTAGGAGACCAGGGGGATATATTCACACTTTGTTTTTGTCCGACATGGCGTTTGAAAGCGATCTCCGTCCACACAACCTACAGGCCTGAAAATCACCTGACCCCCTCATGTACATTGGGAATGCGCATGCCAGCGTAAACAGGAAGGCATGTGCATCCCTCTGGATACAGGAATTGTCGAGCAGATTGCTCGGGTAATAGCTTGTCTCCTACATCTAAGCAGTTGTACCTTTGCTTACAATTGTTGTGTAGTTGAATTCTGCATTTCACAAAGACAACAGGGTCAGCAACGCTTGTAATTGATTATCCATGTTGTGTTCTATGCTGGCTGTGTTCTTCCAGAAGTGGGTCATGTGATAGGAGCCTGATGATCGAAAACACTCAATCAGCAAGTGCTTGTGAGAGTCTCTGTCATTGTTTCTAAACATCTGTTTCTGCCTGACCAGACTAAAACACAACCTCAGAGTTTACAAACCATCCCTCTCTGTCTGAGCGGCTCTAAAACTCCAAATCTGTGTGGACACCAGGTGTATCCATAGCGGAGTTGATGCGTTCTCCAACAATAACACAGCAGTGTGGATGTCATTGCCAAAGTACTTCCTCTGTGGTGAGAGGAAAAGTGGGGGATACATTCAGCAGCTCCACAATTAGAAGATGACACAAATTTAAGAGGGAGACCGGGGGGATGCCAGGCCGAGTTACTGTGGGCAATGGAGGCCTATGTATGAAAGAGTGGCACCAACTTAGATTCCATCTGATAAAACTCTACATTCGAAGACAACACAAGAAGAAGCTGACAAACTGGTTTGTCGGTGCTCAAGAAGTCTACTTAACGTTTCAGAAAGTGAAACCTGGGCATGACTCAACCGTAGTTAACAGTTTATCATACTTTATCAAGTTTAAACTGATTGACCAAATAATAATCTGCTGCATCACGACACTCTGCTGTTGCTCTGAATCTGAGTGTCCTCTTTTCTTGATGCTGTACGCAGTGATCCGTTGGTACAATCTGTTTCCATGGGCAGTACATGGCCCCGGGGTACGACAAGTCTGAACACGGGATGATTAATCATGGGCTCCAAAACTAAACCCAAACCTAAGAATACATCATCACAAAATGTGACATCGGCAGACGTCCTGGCCAATCAGAGCCGAGTGATGTCAACAGGTTGAAACATGTCAGGGAGACGCTCCACTCTGACACACTGGAGAAAAGTGGAAGATAACCGACATCAGTACTGGCTTTGTCCTTGCATATCAGGGACAAACTGCCTGAAAGACATCGCATACACATTCCTGGGCTTTTAAATGACTTCAATAACACACAAGGTCTGAGAAGGGAACCACAAAAAAAAGTATTTGAAAATCTGGCAAAAATAATCAATATCAGAGAAAAGGGAGTAGAGGGAAAAGAAATGCCCCACCCAACCCCCTCAGCATCCCTCCACCCTCGCCCTGTCTCTGATAAGAGCTTAAAGTGAGTGAAACCAGCTCCTGGCCGAGGCTCCTGGACAGACAGCCACACACCTCCGGTGTTATCCCTGATAGGCTTATCACTGGAGCAGTTTCCCCTGAGAAAACCAAACATGAGCCGGTGAGAACCAGACACGTAACGTGCACCAGACTCACACATTATCTGACTTATCAACTCCTAATAACTGAGGGTTTTTTGGGACAAACTTTGAGGTTGATAGCTGGAGTCTTGATAGACATTGAAAAATCCATTTTGACGGCTCTGCACCAAACAGTAAACTCTCAGTACAACTGCAACAAATGATTCATTTCCTGATCATCTAACCTAGTATTTATTAATTTATTGATGTGTTCTATAATCGACCATATGTCTTAAGAAAATCTCATACCAGTCCCAAAATCATATGATGACAAAACAAATGGAAAATATTTACACTTAAGAACCTGTAACCAGATATATTTTGCTTTAAAATGACTCAAGGGATTAAAAGATTATCAAATAATTGCATTTTAATTTTCTTATTAGCAACTAATCAATCGATCGACCAGTGTTTTCAGGTCTTTCTCAAGATGGTTTGGATCGAAGTTACAACTTCAATCGTCCATCAGCTAATCACCTGGAACAACAGAAGTTCATGAAGAAAGATGAACTGTCAGAACACATGGGATAAGAAACTTTTGGCAGGTTTTTCATCAGTCCAGGTCAAAAAACTGATAAAATGTTGCTTCACAGAGAAGAAACACTGGTAGAGCTACTTTCTAGATTACTACTAGCTACTCTCTTGAGTGCCCACGGAACTAAATGCTTCTTTTCAAATCTTCTCAACTGGGTTTCTCTCTGATAATGAAGCAAGGAGGAAACGGCCTCCAGTCCACAACAAAAACAAGCGAGACCAGAACAAACAGAACAAAATGTGATCAGGAGTGATGAGTTATATCTGATCCAAAAAGATAAACTGGTGACGTCCTCGGACAAGTGAGTCAGCTCTGCAGCGATGACGCCGTTAAACCTGCCCGTTCTCACCACGTGACAGACCCACCCACAAACAAACAACCTCTGGTAGCTGTAGAAGTGACCACTCCTGTTTCTGTGCAACTAACATGAAACCGAACCTGCCTCAAAACCAGAACCACTAAAACACGTGATTCTGTGGATTTAAGAGCAGATGTCCTCTCACCAACCATCAGTGTGTGTCTGTGTGTCCCCCAGGTCACTGACCCACGACTCCACTGAAACCAGGCAGCCAAAACTCAGAGTGAAACGGACCTGTGGATGGAATGAATCACCTCTTGCAAAACTCAATTTGGCATTTCACCTGTGACTCAGGAGTTCATCCTTTAACCTATGTGCAGACACACACGTGAAAAATATTCGGGGCTGGACGATAAACCCGTATCAATAATTACTGTGATATAATTCTACCACTGTAGAGTACGTTGCCACTGTGTTGATGGGAAAAAAGTTGGCACAAGAAGTCCTCGGTCAAGATTGACAGTGTGACGTGTGTATTTCCCCTGTACCCACATTCACCATCAACACAACAAACTATTCAAAAATCACTTTTCTTCATCTGCAGACTAAACACCATGAGACCCTTACTGTGATTCTAACGTGTTATATTTAAATCCCCTCTCACAAGAATCATGTGATGTCAGATTCTGTACATTCTGTATGTTTGTGCTCTGCATGAGGCTGAAATTGGTAAATAAGCAGTGATTCAGTGGCTGGTTGAGTTGATTTGTGCAGCTGTTACACATTGTGGCACAAATAACACACAACAACGTGTAGGGCTGAAACTATGTGGCACTGAAACACCAGAGTGTGTGAACTACTGATAAACACAAGATCAAGATAAAACCATCTTATTAGAACTTAGATAAAACCTTATTATTGGAACATATAGTGGATAAAACTTTCTTAAAGTAACATATAGTAAAGAAAACTGGTTTGTCCGTGAACTATGTCCAACCAGTTTTGCTCAGCAGGACAAATCAGTGGAATCTGGAAGTCTGAAGAAAACAATCTGTGCAAGTGATCCACATTGTGGTGCGTTCAGGTCCCGGTTCATACGGTTTCAAAAGCAGTTTTTCCTCTAAAACGTGATCCCGGCTGCAGACAGATCGTCCCGATCAGTAACGGGACCATGTGAACTCTTTCTATTTTCTCGTTTCCACATGTCCTCCCTCCACACTCACCTTGCTCTTCACTTCCACCGCGTTACAGTCCACGTTCCGCAGGGGCTGCGACTTATTAAAGCTCCGGTTCATTTTCAGTTTTTTTTTAATTCTGGTTGTAGTTTTTTTTTTTTTTT